CGGGGGCAGTGACTGTCCCCGCTGCCCGAACCGCAGTGCTCAGCTGCGGCGGCCAGAACTGCAGCGTGCGTTGCTGGAGGAGCCGGTCCCTCGGCCCCGGCGAGCTCCTTGGCGCAGCTGTTTTGTCCAGGAGCTCGAGGGGCAGGGAGTCATCCTGAGGAGGCGCCGCGGAGAGAAGCGGCGGCTGCTGTTGGAGGAGGTGGGTGCGAGGCCGGGTAGTGGGGTCCCCGGGCGGGGGCGGGGGAGCTGAAACTCCAACCGGGAGCAAGAAATGCCTGGAAGCCTCCTGCTTGCCCTGGTTGTCCTCGCGCTCCATCCTCCCTCTGAGCGACCCTTCCCCCACTGTGGCCTCTCCTGGTGCTGCTGGACTCTGTGTTGCTTTTGGGGGGCGAAGGGGTGAGGATGAGGTGGGGGACGTGGACGAAGGAGTGGGGGACAGGTCTGCCTTATGCTCCGAGTCTCTTGCTGCCCAGGGATGCAAGAGCGGAACCCCAATGTGGCCAGCCTTAGGGAAGGGGGTGGGGCAAACTGAGGAGGAGAGAAGCCTGATGACTGGTCCCTTCACCTAGGATTTCTCATTGGCATCACGCCAAGCTTCCTAACTTCTGGGACCTCACCCCGGGCAGCAGTATCTAGGGAGGGTCAGCCCTCCTCGTAAGTTTCTCAAAGGGCCTAGGTCCCATAGTTCTGCAACAGCTTCCTCCCTTTAAGGGACCTAAGAATCTCTTCCACCAACTCCCTCACTTTTCAGAGTTATTCTGGAAGCCATCCAGAAACCCCTTTATTGCTAATCTCTTATGTTCCACTTTGCAGACTCTTCAGTCTCTCTGATGTTTTGTTCTCATCTCCTTATTGAGAATTTCTTCCTTTGATCCTCTCTGAAGTAAAAGCCTCATGACGCATACTGTCTTTTTGTTTCTGTCCCCTTTCTAGTAAGTATCATTGGCTATCTCACGTAATAAATATCAGGGAATGCTCGGATGTCACTTCAGCTAAAATACTGCTGCTTGGTGATAAAAATAGAGTGCATTTGTCATCTCTCTAGTGATGAATGAAAGGGTGTATCTTCTTACAGCACCTCTGGACTGTTAGCACAACCATCTTTCCCACACTCACTTTCAAACGAGCAACCTTCAGTGAAATCTCTTCTCTAAAAAGCTAACAGATTCCCTATGTAGGTTTCAAGGTCCTGGTCCCTTCCATACAATTCCTCCTTTCCATCTCCTGACACATTCTTCCAAGAAAGAGCCAAGACTACAGTGAGATAAGGGCTCTGTTTAAGGAGGCACTCCCTGTCAAATCTTAGGCTAGTCAAGCCAGGCTCCATTTGCCTGCACTCACACCACACTGGAAGCCTGCTATTTCCCAGCCCGGCTATACTGTATACCTGACTGCCACTTTACCTTTCTCCCTACTGTTCCCTCAACCCTCATGGCTCTCACAACCCTTTCCCTGCCTATGGGAACCATATTTAGATTTTACGGTTCAGTTAAAATGCTAGGGCCAGTTTGCTATCTTTCTGATTCTCCTATCTTTACTCTTTGTTCCTTGATAGGAAGTAATTCCTCCACCATGTGTACTTACACAGTATTTTTTTTTTGCCCCTACTTGCGCATCTATTTCTTTATAAAAGGTACATTTTTTCATTAATAAGAAAAAACTAGTGTTGAGAGACTGATATCGTAGAGGGAGAAACTTGGGCTCTGGAAGTGTGAATCATGATTTCAATCTGACCAAGACTCCTGAGCTTTTACTATTTGTAGTAGTAATTATTATTAGTGTTAGATTTATTAAGGGCTGTCTATGTACCAGATACTCTTCTCAGGGTTCTAAACATAGTAACTTATGTAATCCTCAAAACTAACTTATCTAGTGGTTACTATTGTTGTCTCCATTCTAGGAATAGAAGGTGAAAAACTTAACCCACTCACTGAGTGGGTTAGCAGAAGACCTGAGATTCAAAAATTTGTAGTTTGAATGTGAAGCTGGTGTACCTCATTACTAATGCACATTTTAGCCCTCTAGTGCTAATTATCACTGAAAGCTGCTATCATCACATCCCTACAGTTTCTCACAGAGTATTCATTATAAAGAAAGCTAAACCTAGAGTGCTGTTAGCCTCCTCTCTGCATATTAGCTTATTCCAACTTTTCCCTCCTAACCCATACTCCATCCTTTTCCTATTCTCCTACTGTATCCTCTAGTGCCCAGCTCCACTGTTATGACAAAATTCCAGCACTGTATATAACTCCCAAATCCCTACCTCATTGTATACCTGCATTAGGGAAAGTTAACCCAGTTCTGATCATTGATGCTGTGAATTTATCTTGGTCACCCTCAGTATTGTCCCCCGAGTTGAATGTAGATAACCTCTGATGTTGTTACATTATGGCTATTTCACTATGGTGAACTTTCACATAATAATTTTCTGATTGCCACTGAGCTTATCTGTGAGGTCAGTTATTTAATGTACCTCTGAACCTCCTAGATAAGTAATAGTCTGGGTTTTATGCCTGAAGCTTTCCTTTTCATCCTAGAGCCAAAGCCAACCTTAGTTGTCAACTCTCTAGCTATCATGAAACAAGGTGATCAGCATCCACACTTTTCCTTTAACATGAAAACATACATGCATTCTGCATCTAGTTTTAAGAGGCTGATACACACTGATAAACAGAAGTCAGGAACTCGTTGAAGAGTTGTTTTGTGCCTGAGCATACATATCATTTAGGATCGTTCTGTCCTTTTTCTGCCATTCACAAATATCACTTTCTGTCCTAAGGCTGGTAGTATTATGGCTGCAACTATTCTAGGAATCAAGCAACTTTCTGAGAAAGAAAAGGTGTCCATCTTTTCAGTGGCCTTTCTTATGTGTGAGGACACTTTCCTCAGAATTCCTTGTGCAGTCTTCTGTGTCTCGACAAGCAGAATTAGATCACAGCCCTTTCCTGAACCAAAAAGTACCTAGACCAAGCAGACTCACCTTGGATGTGGAAACAGCCTCCCCGTGATACCTGACTATAAGAGGAAGAAGGCATACTTTTTTTTTT